TATTTTTTTTACTGTTTCAGGTCTTCCCCCCCCCCCCCCCCATCCCATAACTGTTTACGTCACCTTCTCACCCTGCACTCAAAGTTGCAATCCGTATGTATGCGAAGGCTTTTCTTGGGCATCGATGCCGATTTACATCTTGCACGTGACAGCTTCGGAAGCGTTCAGTTTGCTCTCGCGCAATGGAGGGAATTTTTTTTTTTAACCTTCAGACCTGAATTATGGCCACTATTGAAATAATATAATTTTTTTTGCATTTTTGAGCTCTTCCTATTCTACCTTAAATTTTTGTTCTACATATATTTTTTATATTTTGTACAAATTTACCAAATCATACCTCATATTATACATTGTACATTATACATGTAATTACACAACTGAAGATTACAAAACTGACGGGTGAGAGAAGGCGTCCGACGGGATTGAGGCATGCATAATTGCGTCCATTGTAATGTAATATGGGGCTCAATGTCACCAGAATCCCAAGAAATTACCATAGAAACAATGAAAATGCAATGTCCATTGGAATGGACGCGGGGACTGAAAGGGTTAAGTCAAACCTGCATTCCAGCGCGAGACATTTTAGAAACACCGCAGGAATAATGGAATCAACTAGTACACCTCAGAGTCAATAAAAAAAAAACGTCCATCAACATCAGTTCATTAGTTTCTACCAGCACAGTAGTGACTCGTTCCCGCCGAGAATTTTCACCCAGTTCCTGCAACCAGTCAAACCTTAACCTCATTTCTACAGCTACCTTCATCCACTCACCGAAAGTTTAATAGCGACCGACCGTCCCGGGCACAAGCCCCTCCATGCCTCGTTTAACACGCCGCAAAAAAAGTGGCCAATAGCGACCAATAGCGGCCTCGAATGCCCTCTCGCGGCGTCCCTGCCCGGGCCGTCCTTTACTCGCACTTCGACCGTGTCCTTTTCTCTCGGCTGTGCCAGTTTTTCGACGTCGATGTTCTGGAGCATTCACTTTCGTTAGTCGTCTGTGGGAATACATTGGGACGTAGCTGACTCGACTTGGATTGTTATCACAATTGGCCCCATTTGAAACACAAGAGTACTGAGTACACAAGAGTAAGAGCAAACTGAATCTTTCAATGAACTCAAATAATCAGACGGATATCCTATTTCTTGGACAATAGAAAAGGACAGGTAGTACTCAACGGAATACTTCACTATGGAGTTCCGCAGGGATCTTTATTTTTTTTTGTCAACGACATCCCATCCGCTCTAAAACGCTGCTCGATATCGCAATATGCAGACGACATCTCAATCTAGTGTAAACAGGGAAACACAAACAAGATCCAACAGGATCTTGACGCAATAGTCTCATATTGCAACGACTGGCGAATAAAAATAAACTCAAAAACTACAGCACTAATGTTTACAAACAAACACGGTGAGAGAGACAATCTAAAAATCCAGACAGAAGCGACTAATATTGCCACCAGCAAATCTACAAGATTTCTAGGAATCGACCCACAACAAAATGGTAAATTAACACACTTCAAAACCCTAATACGCAACTGCCAAAAGACCATCATGAGATCTCTCACAAATCCAAACTGGGGACTGGCCACCGAAATTCCATGACAAATATACAAGCAATGCGAAGCTGGAATATTGTGCCCTCTTTCTTCTTTCAGGAACGGAAAGGCAAATCCACCAGGTGGAAAGGCAACAAAATCAAACAAATTGGCCTGCCACCTGCCAAGAGGAACCACCGAAATAAAAGTTGTAAATCTGAAAGCCATTGCACCCATGAGAACAAGATTACAA